CACTTCATAATTAATTTATTCATTCTCTTGCTGTATAACTGTTTCTCTACTTAACTGACTTTGGTAATAGTTCTCTGCATAATTGATTCATATTGCTGTTGATTCTCCCCATTTTTATTTAATACCAGAAATGATTTGCTGTATGACTGCTTCATTGCTTAACTCATTATCTACACAACCGCTTGGTATCATAATTGATTCACTGCTTAACTGTCCCACAGGATAATGAACAGCAAGTAATGGCCATCCACTTTCCACCTCCATTTCCTTTCCCTACATCAGCCTTTTCCTTTCTTTATGTGACAACCTGAAGCTTTCCTGACAACACACCCAGACTGCTTATGCATCCTCGCACATACCATCACACTGCTCCTGATCCTACCTAACTCTCTTCACAACATATAATGTTCTTCTTAAAAAGCACATGTACACGGGTGACTTTGCCTTGTTTATTTGCACTGCCCTGCCTGAGATATCTGGGGAAAAAAAATGCAAATAAATATCCAGAAATTTAAAAAGACAACACACAACCATCCCTTGCTTCTTTCCTTCCTGCAGAGATGACCCCAAAACTCCAATTTGCTCTTTCCCTATTCACATGCATGGAAATTATAGTTTGTTCTGAATCTTGAGTATGAGCCAGATCTCCAAGGAGCAATTAAAATACGGCAAGGAAAGTCCTGCCTGACAGTCCCAGTGCAGGACTCATTTAAGAAGGAAATAAGAAAAGGGCTGTGGAGACATGAAATTCCTATTTGCAACTTAGATGATGCCCTATGTGTAAAAAGAATGAGAAAAAAGTAACTCCTATGGAAAATCTCCTCCCTTATTTCTGTCTTTCTGCATACAGAGATCAGGAACAGCTGCTGCTGCCCTTCTGTGCCACGAGATTTATTCCTCCTGCCTCTATTTAGCCAAAGGTAGTGAATCCATCAATATTTTGTATACAAGGTAATTCTTGGGGTGGCAGGAAGGGATATTGGTCCAAATTGTTCTCCACTGTAAGGCACTTAGTTTTGATAGCTTTAAACACAGATGGTGTTTATCTGTTCATTCTGCAGGTAAAGCATGTCTCATAAGAACATGGAAAGATTTAATATTCGAATATAAATGCCATTTTCTTATTGCTGTCAACCACAGCACTTGAATAAATATTATACACCCTTCCTTCAAGAAATCACAGTAGGGTTATCTCTGGCAATTGAACCAGCTTCTAGAGAGACATTCTGCTGGTGTTTTCTGCAAGGAGCTAGGTGCATGACCCCATCTGAAGATTCACGCGATAGTTGTTTAGCAACTTAGGGGATCGGGTCAATTGGTTTAAACCTTGCCTGGGTCCCAAGACTTCGAATCGGAGCGGCACTGACAGGCAGCACTATTAGCAGTTACTGCCATCTACGGGTCGGATCACCTTAGCTTTATTCCTCAGTGATCGTTTCTTTGTTACAAATATACCTGTTCTCATACATAAACAAATGCAATAGAAGAAATTACAGAATCATCACTGATTTCTCTACTAAAGAGAAAAAAAAATAACAGATGCATGATTTCACCTATGCATCCACCTGTAAAGAATGGGAGAAGATTTTGAATGCTTAATATTATTATCTGCTCTAGACAAGGGAAAAGATGACATCGCTTCCTTTTCCATTTTCAGTGTGTTAGGTGTCACCTTTGCTTTGAAACCACTGAGGCACACTCATCCCTGATAAACCAGCACTGAAATGACTTCTAATGCACCTTATCATTTGCATATTCATTTGAATGCTGTTATAGCCTTTTCTTTATTTTTTTTAATCCTTTCAAAGTGGGAAAGCATTCATGCACTGGTTACTCACATCCTTTTCCAGCCTGGGAGGCTTCTAGCTTTCCCCATTTAGAATTAAGAGCAGTTTGGGGTATTCACCACTCCTGACAGCTGTTAATCCCCCTCAACTCTGTACAGTCATTTTATGTTAAACATTTGAAGTAAGTAACAGGACTATTCAATGCTGGTTTGGACTGTGCCTGTGGTCCTTTTAGCTCATTAGTCATTCTCTAACAGTGGCTAGCCCCAGATGCTTGAGCAGGAAAGTGAAAAACCTCCACACTGGAAAATCAATGCAAGGGCACAGGAACCTGTCCCTTTCTATTACAGGTAAAATCCTTTTCACAAGCCAACCACATTAATCTAAAAACTGACTTCAGTTTTTGATCCCTCCTGATTCCTGTTGGAACATTTTCACAAGGACTGTCCTGTGGAGTACAAAACTTTTAATTTCTAACTTAAATGTATTTATGCACACTTCACACCAAATATGCCTTTATCGGTAATGTTCTTTTGCATAAGCAGTGGTTCTTTTCTCTTTCTCTGCCTATTTTGCACTATTTTGTTTAGAGATGGAAATAAGACACTCTCCCAACCTTTGTTTTGCCCAGTTAAACAAGCCAATCTCTTTTTAATCACATGACAGAAAAGACTCTTCATTCCCTTAATTATCCCGTTGACAGTAGGTTTCCAGTTTGAATCTGAACTCATCTTTCCGGTATTGGAGTGCCAGAACTGTAGTTTGTATCTAAAATGACATTATACTCAAGGGTCAATGAAACTTTCCATGTGAACCATTGAAAATACCCTACTTGATGCACCTTAGGGTTACATTTGCTTCCCTTGCAGTCACAGCACATTGGTGGGTCAACGATGCCCCTTACATCTCATTTTACCATCCCCTTTGGTTTTCACTTAAAAGTACTATCAGATACTGTCATTAGTCGTTATTTTGCATTTTGTGTTACTTCACTATTTCTGTTACCCCAGTTTTTAAAGTCATGCACCACTTCTTAATCCTTCTCTGCAGATTTCCCTGTTACAACCAAGGGAGTTATAAGTCTAGATCAGTGAATGCTGTGTGCCTTCAGGGACAAAGTTTACAGGACACTAAGCATGTAACCTTCAGCACTTGTTTCATTTATGGTCTCTAAGTAGGACCTAATGACTTCCATGGGGAAACGGATAGATTAAAGTCAAGTGTTAAGCAATGTAGAATCATGAGATAGCATAAAGTTGTTCATTGTCCTCTCCTGGCTTGCAACTGCATTGCTGATGCCTCTTCATGCAGGAATTAGTCCCCAGTGCTCAGTTAGAGAAACAGATAGCTCTGAAGCTGCTACAGTCTTCTGAAAGGGCCTCCAGAGTTCACTGAATCTACCTGCTGGTTAGTATATAACAATTTTCAGCACAGAGAAGGTCAAACCCCTGCCCTGTCCCTGGCAGTGTTCAAGGCCAGGTTGAACAGGGCTTTGGGTAACCTGGTTCAGTGGATGGAGTCCCTGCCGATAGCAGGGGATTGGAACAAGATGATCTTTCAGGTCCCCTCTGGCCCAAACCGTTCTGTGATTCTAGGATTCTGCAAAACAGGGGATCTGGAAGATTACACTGGAAAGGGAAAAAAATGAAAGCATTGACCTCTGATGCAGAGATAGAAAGTCAGTTGTACTGGGAGACCTCCGTAAGTAGCTGTAGTGACTTTGCTTCTCTTAGAGAAGATGAAACTGGGCATTGAAAGGGACCATTGAAGAAAAACTACCAAAGAAAATACACTGCACCAATTTCTGAATCATCCATAGATGAAAAGACAACTACCTGCAGATTCAGAAATGTCACCAATTACTGCCATGCTAACGCCAGGCGATGTGCATACAATGGCCAAGCAGATACAATGCACATTAGACAAGTTTCTGCTTTTACTTACAATGAATATAAACACGGCCGTGCGGGTGAGACCACCAACGTCCCTGAACTTTTACAGTGCCAAGCCGTTTGAGAAATGGCTATTCATGTAGAATTAGTTTGTGTGTACAATAATGACTCTCTGATACACTGAAGTAACATTTATAGTTTATTTTGTAGTAACATTGTTGGCTTCTACCCTTCTGGTTTATCACTGCAGCAGCTGGAAGTAATCGCTGCTACAGGTGCCAGCCTTGTGTACGTGCAATGTCCTCACTGCAGTCACAAGGTGTGCTGCTGTGGCACTGCTATGTGCTGCAGTAGCTCACTCACCTTTGCATTTATATGGATACATTGGAATTATTCCATTTTCATACTGATTTACCATAGTTACTGATTCTGGTAAGAAGAAGAAAACATGCTGCGTGGTTTTTGTGAGCACGTAGGCAACAGAAAAAATAGGCTTGTTCTGAAAGAAGTGCCACCTGGAGCGCACCCTCAGCAGGTTTGCTGATGACACCAAGTTGTATGGTGTACTTGACATGCTGGAGGGAAGGGATGCCATCCAGAGGGGCCTGGACAGGCTAGAGAGGTGGGCTCATGTGAACCTCATGAAGTTCAACAAGGACAAGGTTCTGCACCTGGGTAGGGGTAATGCCAAGCACAGGTACAGGCTGGGCAACGGTGCATTGAGAGCAGCCCTGCAGAGAAGGCCTTGGAGGTGCTGGTTGATGTAAGCTGGACATGAGCTGGCTTTGGTGTGTGCTCGCAGCCCAGAAACCCAACCGTGTCCTGGGCTGCATCAAAAGGAGCGTGACCAGCAGATGGAGGGAGGTGATCCTGCCCCTCTCATGAGACCCCATCTGCAGCACTGCGTCCAGCTCTGGGGCCCTCAGCGTACGAATAACATGCACATGTTGGAGCGAGTCCAGAGAAGTGCCACAAAGATGATCTGAGGTTGGAGCACCTTTCCTATGGAGATAGGCTGAGAGAGTTAGGCTTGTTCAGCCTGGAGAAGAGAAGACTCCGAGGAGACATTAGAGTAGGATTCCAGTACCTAAAACCCGGTTCCACTGGGGCCAGGCTGAGCCGGTACTGTCTCTGCCCGCAGGAGAGCACCGGGGACACTCCACTTCCCGCGGGCCCGCCCGCGCCGCTCTTCTAACCGCGCCGCGTGGCGTAAACCATGAAATCAACTGGCGCCGATCACAGCGTCACCCGCGTGCCCTGCCACGTGTCGGAGGCGGAAGTGAGGAGCCGGCGCGGGGCCGCGTGTTCAGTGATGGCGTTCTAGTAGCAGCATCGGCAGCAGCAGCGGTTTCGCTCCTTCCCCCCTTCCGTCCGTCCGTCCGTCGGGACCGGGTGGCGCGGCCATGGCCAAGGGCCAGGCGGTTGTGACCGCGGCTGTGAGCGGCGGGAGGCGGGCGCTGCTGCTGCTGCTGCCGTTGCGCTCGCGCGGCGCCCGGGGCGCCGCCTCAAGTGACTGCCGAGCGCCCCCGTTCCCGGTGCACCGCTGCCTTGGTGACTGGCAGCGGCTGGTGGTTAGCGGCAGCGCAGGGCGGGGAAGGCACGTCGGTGGGACCCGTGGGGAGAGCCGCTGCGGGGAGCGCGGTGAGAGCTTGAGGGGGCGGCGGGGGGGAAGCGGGTGCCCCATCACCTCACCCGAGCGCGGTAGTCCGGTGGCACGGAGAGGAAGGGGGGCGCTTCGGGCCGCGGCTGCTTTGGGGTCCCTCGGAGGGGCCGTTCTCAGGGCTGGGTCATCTTCCCCTAAGGGTAGACTTGATTCTCGATCTTTAAAACGGGTAGCGCACCGCCGTATGTTCTCTCCATGTGTTTGAAAATAGAATGACTTCGAGGGCAGAGTTCCGCCTCTGACAGTTTACGTCGTGTTCCGGCTTGCTTTCTTTGTGTCAGCTAGTTTATGCTAATGCCCAAGTGGAAACTATGCTGTCTGAGGTTTGCATTCACTGCTGAAAGTATTGTCTGTAAAAATAGTAAATGTCAAATTGTGAGGGATTGCCTTTTTTTCTAAAGGAGGCAGATAATGGAGGCTTTTAACAGAGTAGCAAAAGTCTGAGGATTTAGTTCTCAGAGCCCTGCACTGCTCACAGCATCCACTGATTATGCTGCTAATGATAAAGGAACAATTCTAAGATCATGACACTTGGTAGGATTTTCAAGGACATGATATTCTTGGAGAGCATCTCAGAAGTGCAGCAGTAGTGTTGTAGTGTGTTTTCAAGCTCTTGTACATAGAGCTTCTTAGTCAGGTACCTTTTTGTTTCAGGCAAGCTGTAGTAACCTCAAAGCACAATCTAGTATTTTTTCATAAATGGAGAATATTTGGTGTAGTAAGAAAACTCCTGAGAAACATATTGATTAATATACTTTCCTAAAAATAACCTATATTTTGGTTTTGTCTTTGTTTTGTTTTTTCCTCCAGGTGTAAGCGTCTCTGCATCACCATCCATACAAAGCAAAGAGAATGTTTCCTTTTTGGGAAATAGGAGGCTTTTTTTTGACACTCATGCACTGGTATGCCTCTTGGAACAAAATGGTAATTTGCTAGAAATGGGTAGCTGTTTTCAATGTCATTTCGTGAGTGGCTCTAAAAAGCCACTTTTACAAAGGTTGTTACTTACTTTTCTTTGACATGTGATGTTACAGCTTCAGTTTTATGGATTTTTTTTTTCTACTTCCAAAAGGAAATAGCTTATGAAACTTTGGAATAATTTATTATCCTACTTGTAATTAAAAATGTGAAAGAGAAATCAAATTTTAAGGGTTGAGAGTAAAAACAGTTTTCATGGTAGTAGTTTAACACGTATTAATTGGATTCTTGTGTATTTAGTATATAGCACCTTGAATATGCAACAGTGTCTTATAATAGGATTGAATATGGGCTATTATATAAAATACAGCCTTTAGGATAGAAATAGAATACTATAAAATATGGCTGCTGTTATGCTAAAACATAGGTAAGGGAATAGATTATTTTGGATTTGTGCTAATGTTGCTGAGGTGGAGAAGGTACCTGAAGGAGAAGTTATGTACTGCTGAATTGAATTTTAACAGCTCTCCATCCCTGAAAAGGAGCAGTCTCCATCCCTTTTCCGTGCTGTGTAGTTTCATCTCTTCCTGGGGCCAACCTAATTCTCGGAAAACCCTGCAGCTCTTTTGCTTGGTTGAAATTCTGAGATGCCACTTTAATAAGCCCACTGAGCAGTTGTGTGAACACCGGGACACATATAAAGTGTCAGGAGGAGGGATAAGGACAATGAGAGAGTCAGGATATCTTCCTTTTGGTGGTGACAAACTGTTTTATTAGCTCAGCTATTAAAAGCAACTCACTCTCAGACCCCAGTGCTTTCTGATGCTTAACTGCTGTTCAATTTGAAACAGTCACGCTTTTGCAGGTGTCCCTTTTCATAATTAAATCTTATTCATGGCATTTTTACTCCTATATTTTGTAAGTGGAAAAGTTGAGGGTATTTCTAGGGTGATGTTTTACAATAGTTTCCAATATATTCAGTTTAAAAGGTTTCTGATGGGGACTAAGAGGCTAGTAGGCCTAAAATTAGAGCAGTTAGCTCTGTTTTCAGTTGTTGAATTTTGCACATCTTCAGCAGTACTGAAGATGTATAGTACAGTATACTGAAAATAAGTATAGTCTACTGAAAATAAGTATCTGCTTTTTAGGGTCAGAATTCTTGTTCATAGAAATAACCACACGTGAGAGATGACAATCCATAATATTTCTAGGAAATTTCCAGCATTCAAGCTGCTGATACTGTAATAGTGCTGTACTACAGAAGCAGCTATGCTGTGTCACCAGCTTAATTATTGGGTGGAGGAACTTGGATGTACAGACTCATGTTCTTTTGTTAGTGTTGAATCAAAAGGAGTATGTTTTATTATCTTCATAACTGACATTTGTTTAAACTTGATGCTGAATATTAATAAGTGGTGTTTCTGTAAACTGTCCGGATTTAGATCTCTCTCTGAATGCTGTTGCATTTCATTTTGCTTAGGGTTCACTACTCAGCAGTCGGAGGTCATTGTATCTGCATTAGTGAAAATTATGAACACCAACCTGGATATGATTTACAAGGATATGGTCACCAAAGTACAGCAGGTTAGATCAGAGATAATGATGAGGTTAAAGTAAATAAAAACCTTGTATGCCTGCTAATGAAATACATGTTGCTATTTATTACTGCTGGACTACAGTAAATAACCTCCTTCTATGCCCAGGTTTTTTGAATGAAAGTGAAACTTTTTGGTTTGTGCTAAATTAAATGTTGCTACTGGTGGTGGATGTTTTCTGAGACTGTTAGGTTCAATCCATGGGTGACTTTCTACCATTAAGATTAAAATGTGCAGATTTGCAAGGCATGCTAAGATAGAAGCAGCTCAAGAGGTGTGTATACCATGAACTCTGTCTGGGCAACGTAAGCCCATACTTCCTTACAGTCTTTGAATGCACAACGGCTTGTGCAAAAAGAGAATGAAGAATTGGAAGAAGGTTTGGTACATTGTGGTTGTAGCTTATTACCATTAGGCTATAGTTGGGTATGTAAAAGATAAAATATTACACTGGTCAGGCAAAACCTTAGGGAAAAATAAATGTGTGTGTACAGAGATGAGGTAGAGAAAGAACAGGAAAGATTTGTTCTCTGTTTTCTCAGCTCACTGAAGAGGGGAGAGAACAAAAGCAAGCTGGAGGCAGGGAGTAAGAGAAAGAGGTATGTCCATGGCAGCACTCTTTCTGTAGTTTTTGTGATACGTCTGGTATGCTGTCCCATTTTTTTCAGTCTTGTGGTCAGGTAGCCTAGTGAGACACCTTGAGATGCCACTTAGAAATACAGTGCTGCAAATTAGAATAGCATTTCCTGACAGAAGTGAAGTTAAAGTGCAGTGTCAGATTTGTAGGGTTCTTAGTCCAGAATCAAAAGCAAGAGACTACTTACTGGAGCGAGATCTTCAGAGAAGATAAAGGAGGCCCTGTTTGCATATGTAGCTAGTGTAGGATGTAGAAAAATGCCTATCCTTGAAAGTTTCAGAGAATTCTTGTTTGTCTTCTGTCAGCTCAGTGTAACAAATTGAGCAGAGCAATTAAAAGTATAAGTAATAGTGATACTGCATAGCAAAGCAAGAGTGGCACCTCCCTTGCAAGAGAGGGGTAAAGAAGGAGGTAGTTACAAAAGAGTATGGTTGTACTGGGAGTTTTGGTCTGAAAGCCAGCTTTCCTCATTTAGCTGAGAGACAACTCTTTATTTCTTAAGGCCTTTGCTAGCTTATTAATTTGAAGACTTGGAAGAAACTATTTCCTAGGCTATTGATTGAATTATTCTGATCTGTGTTAGCACTGCTGATTTTGTCAAATGTTACCAGCGTTTGAGATTAACTTGCATATTTTGTCCCTGTCAATTTATCTTGCTTTCTGAAACTCAGACAATGAATCTGAAATTGCTGAATTAAAAGTTTCAGGGTACCAAAATAGTCTATCATATTTGTAGGTACAGATGAGAAAAAGCATTATAGGTATTACATATTCTGAGGTTTTTCTTCCTTCTTTTAAAGGAAATTGCTCTTCAGCAAGTAATGTCCCATATTGGTGGCGTGAAAAAGGACATGATTATCTTGGAAAAAAGTGAATTTTCAGCACTTCGTTCAGAAAATGAGGTAAAAATTCCTATATTGAAAAGTTCTATTCTAGCACTTGCTTATTTTTTCTGATGATGTAAAAAAGCATCTTGTATCCAAGGGGTTGGCTCTGTGGCCACAGTGGCTTAACACCTTCATTAATGACTTTGTTAGCAGGACAGAACACACCCTCATCTTATTTTTTCCAATGATGTAAAAAAGCTTCTTGTACCCAGAGGGTTGGCTCTGGGGTCACTGTGGCTTAGCACCTTCATTAATGACCTTATTGATGGGGCAGAGTACACAGTCAGCATGTCTACAGATGATACAAAGCTGGGAGCTAGTGGCTAATATACCAGGCAGTTGTGCTGCTATTCAGAGGGGCATGAACAAGCTGGGGAGGTGGGATGACAGGAATTCCGTGAAGTTCAGCAAGTGGAAATGCCAAGGCCTGCACTGGAACATCCCTAAGCACCAGTACAGGCTGGTGCTGACCAGCTGGAAAGCAACTTGTCAGAAGAAGCCCTGAAGGTCATGGTGAGCACCAAGTTGACCATGAGCCAGCAATGAGCCTTTGGGGCAAAGGTGGCCAACAGCCTCCTGGGCTGTGTTAGGAGTACTGCCAGTGATGCCTGGCTGTGGTGAGATTTCATCTGGAGTGCTGGATCTAGTTCTGGGCTCTTCGTGCAAGGAGACATGGATGTGATTCTAGACAGAATCAAACAAACAGCTAGAGAGATCAGTAAGGGGCTGGAGCATCTGACATATTGTAATAGACTGTGAAAGCCTAGAAGAGAAGGCTCAGGGGGGAATCTCATTAATGTATAAAAATGTTTGAAGAGAGGGTATAATGTAGATGGAGACAGGCTCTTTCCAGTGTTGTCCAAAGACAGACAGTAGGTAACTGGCACAAATCAAAATGTGGAAAATTCTATTTAAGCATAAGAAAAACCTTTTTACTCTGAGGGTGGTAGAACTCTGGAATAGGACTGTATCTGTGCACATACTGAGGACATGCTGAGTTAAACCACACTTTTCACTTTATAGTCAATGTTGCTGATTTTGCAACTTCATTAGTACTTCTAGATTATGGGGCTTTATGTACAGTAATAAAGTGTACTTTTTTCTTTTTCTGCTTTCCCAGAAAATAAAACTTGAACTCCAGCAGATAAAGAAGGAAGTCATGGTAAGATACCATACTAATAGAATCAAGAATTAACACTAATTAATCTAGTCTGGGTAAAAAAAAATGGATGAAATATTGTTGCTTTCAAGATTTTTATTTTAAAAGGTGTGCTTAATTGTAGTGATATACAGGATACTGAAATTGCGGTTGGTGGTACACTGTCAACGGTAGTAAAGACAGTTTCATGCATATTTCAGTTACGGTGACAGAGAGCTGTGAATGGTACAAGAGGTGAAGAAAAATTTAACTGAATATTTTTTACTCGCATGTCCTTAATTCAGATTCAGGAAGTGGCTGTCATATCGTGCTTCAGGCTGAGTGAAGTTCTGCATTTAGGGCTGCCTGTTACATGTAAAGATGTGACATGCTTTTAAAATTACAGCACTTAATACTTGGTTTGGGTTGGAGTTTTAGGTGGTTACTTTTTTTCTTGTTTATGTGCTTGGGGTTGTTGATATTTGTTTATTGGTTTGTTTGATTGATTCTCTGAAGACTTACCTGTTAGCTGTCCAGAACTTAAAGTAATTTTAAATGGCTTCTTTAGGGCACCAAGTTTGGTCCCATTTGTTTGAGAACAAATGACCAATGCAAGAAAACAGACTCTCTGTAGAAAACTTAACTCTATTAAGGATAAGAATTTAAGTGTCAGTACTATGTTTGTGTTCTTTGTGGTTTACCTGTCTTGAATAGCATTCCAAACTGGTTTACTGTCAGAACAAGATCATCATAACATCTGTTATTTCAATGGGTGTGGAGTCATAAGCAGCCTTTACACAGAAACAAACATTCTTGGAAGTTGAAAATTGGAAACTGGGAAACATTAACTTTTTATGGACTTGAGAGCTGCTTTTTCCCACTGAGATGTCCTTATTAGTTGGAAGGGTGGAGCACTTTTCCTTCCCTAGGATTTGACTAAACTATCAGACTTGGATGCGTTGAGCTAACAGACAATGTAGTTGAATTCAGCCTAATGTCCCTTTGCCATTTCTTCCCTATTTTCTTTTTAATTTCCTTTTGCCCTGTCATCTCCATAAGTAGTACATAAATATCTCAGGGCTAATCCTGCATGTTTCATACTGTGCTATGAAGTGCTTAATGAATCTGAGTTTTCAGAATACCATTTTAAAATACATTCAGCATCTGATTTTTTGAATTGTAACTTATTTTATGGTTTTAGTTGCACATAAATGAGTTAGTGTAATCCACTGTAGAGCATCAAGGATTTGAGTCATCTTTCCTTAAAAGCTTAGGTGTCTTTAAATTTTACTTTTAACTGTAAATGTAATTCTCACAAGGGCGAGTGAGTTTGTTTGCTCATACTTGTTCCTGTAAAAGACAAAAAGACACGATGTTGCAAAAGTTTAACAAAAAACTATTTCTAGTTTTTATTTCATTAAACTGTAACATATCACGCTGTAATGATGTCCAATTATAAACCAGTTGAAGTTCAAAAATTCAGACACAGAAATTGAATGTAGTTATTGGTCAGACTAAGTTAATGAACTTTTGACTAGTTGCCATTGGCCTGCTTGAGAGATGCTTACCTGGTTTTAATGGTAGAATCTCCCAGAACATCAGCAGTCTTTTGCTTCTCCCACACATTCATCTGATCAGCAGTTTGCCGCATGACAAACTGTCAGCTGTCTGGAATTCCTGCCAGGAGGTTGTGTTAAAATGGCAGCTGTCACTGAGAAAAGCAGGAATCACAGCTATAGATGAAGGAAAATGCAAGTGAACAACTTACGGTAGTTTAAAAAAGTTAAATTTTAAAAATATAATAAATATTTCCTGCCTTCTAAAATGTCTGCAGCTTTTTCTGAAAGCCCTAGATGCAGTCTTTAGAAACAGGAGGGTTTTTTTTTCATTGGAAGGTTGGAAATTGCTTTAAAGCTGTTTTGAGCATCAAGGTTGCTTCATGGAGGAAGCCCAATTTACAGGTGTACCTAGGCATGGGTTTCTAGAAATCAGAGTGAGTTATGCAATGTATGAAACCTCCCCAGTATTTATAGAAGGATGTGCTCTCAATTAAGTTCTGTTCTCAGTGTTGTGGTTTTAGAAATAATTGTTCGGTTTTGATTCCAAGATTCAATTCATACTATAGAGCATGCACATTTCCTGGGGAAGAATAGGAATGCTTATTTTTGAAAATTATGTACGTTAATTGGAAAGAAGCTTGATTTGTGGAGAAAAGCACAATATATCTATGATATAATCTGTGATTCTAATCTGTGATTCTTTATTTGTCTAATTCTTTCTGCTTATGATTAAATAGAAAATCTTGATTGCTGTTTTATCATTTTTTGTCCATTAGGATGAAATTACCAAAGTTCGTGCTGATAACAAGTTAAACCTAAACCTAGAGAAGACCAGAGTAAAAGAATTGGTAAGTTTTGCTTTTAGAAACCTCTCAACACTGAGTAATAGCCAAATTTGGCTAACAGCATCCTACCCAAAGAGTGTTTTCATACTAATCCATAGTATCTTTCTGCTTCAAGATGGTATTAATCCAAGTTACTCGTCCTTATGCTGCTGTAACACAAGGTGCCATGTTTGGTTTTGTATCCCTGTCTATTTTGATATTGTTTTAATGTCAGGATTAAATCACTACATTTAATATAGTAGATATTTAGTCTAAATGTGCTGACTGGCTGCCTAGAGGTTTTCTGTGTTATTAGTAGATCTCTTTATTTTCACACTTAATGAAGTTTATGCATTTCATTAAATTTATCACCAGTGAAGACGTTTCATTTTCCTATAGCTAGAGAATTTATAGCTTAACTGGTGTGTAAGGAAATACATATTGTGAAAATAGTTGTCATTTTTTTTAATTTCATTGCAGTTCTAGCTGCTCGTGGTTCAGATTGTTTGAAGTTTGAAATATCTGGTAGAACTGGATTGATGAGATCTTAAATTAGAGTAACATAGATGGAGAATTAGAAGATTAACAAGTTTTTGCATTAAATGTAGCATTCTAAATAGAGTGCTCTTCTTACAGATATATTTTTTTAATAACTTTTAGGATCTTAAAGAAATTGCATCTTCTAAATGGGAAGATGTTGTAATTACATTTTTCCATTAATACTATTTCTTATTCAGTCCATTTTCCCAGATGTGTAATGAAGAAGTAATATTTATCTCCAATCCAGGCAATAAGGACTGTTCAAGTAGATATTATTTACCTTCTGTATGTGCCACTTGAAGCTTTTCATAATGATTAGTTTAGGTAGCAGCTGTGTCAGTGATTTAATAGAATGACTAACAGTCTGTTATCCCGTAGTAGATGTTTGAATAAAGTACAATTTGAGTGGATAAAGTTCTTGTTCAAAGGTTAATACTTCATGCTGACGTTTTAAAAAAGCATCGTATGTAATGTGTAACTGTGTAGATCATAAGCTTTGCAGTAACTGATTTAAAACCACTGCAACAGTGATTAATTAGACACTAGTGTTTTCTTGTATATTTATGTAGGATTCTGGAAGCTACAGTCTGTCTATTGTGCAGAACACTGGGTCTTTGAGCAGTGTGGCCTAGTGGAAGGTGTCCCTGCCCATGGCAGGGGAGTTGGAACTAGATGATCTTTTGAGGTCCCTTCCAACTCAAACCAGTCTGTGATCCTATGATTTTGACTGCCTCCCAGGAAAAGCAAACTATGCATGTTGACCTTCTCTTAAGAAAGTTAACCAACTTTGTAGTCTGTTGTACAACTATAATTTCATACTTTCTCTGAAAACTGCTTTTTTTTTTTTTTTTTCCCCTCTGCCCACACTTCAGTTGTGACAACTCTGCCTCTGCCATGCATGAACAGAAAAGGAAATAGGCAGATGAATGGGGAATGGGTTGTTTTAAAACCGTACTTGCCTTCCTGAAGAAAGCAGATGGCTCAGTCTTAATTGTGCTCAATGGATTAGTTAACTGTTCCAGAGTTACTGTTTAGAATCATAGGTCTTTGTTTTTCAGAAATACAGATCTGCCAACTTTTATTCCAGCTGCTTATTACTACATACAGCTTTTGCAGAAGCAAAGTATCTGATGGACTTACTGCGCTTCACAATTCAGAGGTGTGCGTGAACATCTGTCTAAATTGTGCTTTTCCAAAGGACAGCAATTACCTTACAATACTGTCTCCCAAGACAATAATCTCGTCCATGTTCAGTGTTCCACAGAATTTGAAGCAAAGCAATATGCTTTTAAGTGTGGGGGAAAAAGTTTAATGACATTGTCATGAATATCATGTTTATCTTTTTTTCTTGTGTGTGTGTATGTGTTTTGTTTTTGTTTTTCTTCCCTCTAGTATTCACGTAATGAAAGAAAACTACTTGAAATGAGGACAGAAATAGTGGAATTGGTAAGAACTTGGTAGCTGATTATTACACAGCAATTCTTTCTGTACTTGTGTTATAGACCTGGCATTCTTTTTTTTGGAGTTGTTCATGTCTTTAGGCACTTTAATATACAAAATGTCATTGTGCTTTATTTCCCTGTGTATTTTCATACTGGTACAGGTAACTGAAGTGTCTATGAAACAAAAAGGCTTTCATCTATATTTTTAGACCCTCTGCATATATATATACAAACTGTTTAGTAATTAGATTGGCTAGGAATGAACCTGTACTTTTTGAATGCAAATTAACATACATTTTAGGAGGAAACAAAAATACAACTTGAAGAGTTGGGTTAAACTTCTAACTAAACTAGAAACTGTTGGAATTGCACTGGTTTGTTGATTTATATTTTAGCATGCGCAACAAGATCGAGCTCTGACCCAAACAGACAGAAAAATAGACACAGAAGTTGCAGATCTGAAAACAATGCTGGAAACACACAAACTTGATAATATTAAGTACTTAGCAGGTAAGGAATCTGATAGTTGGCTCTGATGGTGAAACTATTAAACATTGTTAAATGTTTGGTAAACTCTTGACTGACTATATTCATAAAGGCCCTGATTAAAAAAAAAAAGATTTGAAATAGTCAAGATTAGCAGCCTTAGCTGTGTGCTTAAGCCAAGGTTTCCCATGATTTTTTTCTTTATTTCCATGGGCTATGGCTGATTTTTTTGTTCTTCCCCCCACTTTATATTGTTATAACAATGCATATGAGGAATCTGAAACACTGCCTGGCAAACAAGGGCCAAAAAGTTTTCCTGTGCCAGGCTTAATTGAAAAAAGCAGCCTGATGCATTTCTAAGATCTCTTCATCTGTCTGATGGAGATCTATATGCAAGATGGAACATTTCAGCTTTTCTGACTGTTCACTGCCACATACTCTTTAAACTCTCATGTTTCAGGCCATGTGCATTAGAAAAATACTATATATGTGCATGCATGCCTACACTATTGCCCTACATAACTTGAGTATTTTGACATTTTGCTACTGAGTGTGCAGTGCTATTAACGAGCAGGTTTGCAGTAGAAAATTATTCTTCTGATACTGATTTTTTGATTATTCTTTCACAGTCGCAAGTACAGTCACATCTGTTCACATTACTGTACTTCAGGCATATCCTTTAGGGAGAACCATTACTGGAAAATAAAAGGCACCTCATTAAAATGAGAGGAAATTGTTTTCCCCACCATCCCTACTCCAAAACAAAATTACATTGTGTTTGAAGTGCTCCTTCTGCAAATAATGGCAAAACTCTTTTGTGTGTGTATCTAGAAATCAAAAGTCGGTATCATTTCAATAGAAATTTTTTAAAACTGCAAACTGCAAAGCCTTGTTAAAGAGCGCTTTTTCATTTATTTGTTGCTGAATACTTGACTGTGATTTAATAATCCTGTTACCCATTTCCTCGCTTTACAACTGTAACTTGCCATATTGAGCTTTTGGTAAGCAACTAGGGATTTCTTTCAGCTTCTTGCTACTTTTCCAGCCCAGTTTTCCTGAATTTTTTTTTTTCTTTCCTTTTTCTTTGTCATTTTTGTGCCACTTCACTGTGAATTGTTTGGTTTTAAATTAAAAACCTTATTTTCTTACATGGAGGAGGGGTGGTGGTTACACTTCTAGTATTGAAGCAAGATGTGTACATAGCTCTCGGAACATTTCTTTAGAAAGCTAAGGATTTAATGTCTCCATTTCTCCCCCATTTTTATCTTCTTTCAGGTTCAGTATTTACATGCCTTACAGTAGCACTGGGATTTTATCGTTTGTGGGGATAATAAAACATGAATGTAAAGGGACATCTACTGTCTTCATTTCTGGGTAGGAAAAAAAGAAAACAAGGAGTTTTGTCTTTACCCGGACTTCAACCAAGTCTTGACTGTTTTATTTATTTTGTAAAGCAGACTGCATAGAGAATGTAACCAAAGATGTGCCTAGAAACAAACTGTACACATACTGTGCGTATTTTGAAACTTACCTCTGCTGAAAGCATAGTATATGCATTTCTGCCATTTGCCTCCACTCGGAACTGCAGTGTGTGCACCTTGCTGCTGCTGAGTGTCATCAAAGCAGAGACTGGCATTCACACCGATCATCTGGGGCTGCCTGCTCTAGAGAAGACTGTGTGGGATTATGTTCTGCGACCTGTTCACACCTGCTCGCTGAAGTCAGTTGCATGTATCAGACTGAAGTCCTGACTGTTAATGTAAAGCTGAAACTACATGTTTTGTGGCTTGGAGGCACTCTTGTATAAGTAGAATTTGTGTTAGCTGAATCATGCTTACCTCCCTCCTTCTAACACTTGTTCATACAGTTACTATGATCAAATATTTGGTTTGCTATTTTTATAACATTATAGTTATTAGCTTGTTTTCCAGATGGCTATCCAATCAGTCATGTTTTATGACAAGAGTACTGTGTAGTGATAGCAGTGTTTGCTGCTAGTTTTGTTTGTAATATATTTGTAGAGGTTTTTGTGACTAACTTGCTTTTGATACATGTAAGTATCTGATACTCATTCCATATGCTAATTGTTATCTTTACCACTGTAACTGGAAATTTCCAATGCAGTAAAATACACTAGTTGTATTAATTTACAGTTCAGTGATAGAAAGTGTCTCTGGTGCTGCCTTCTTGATGGAAGGGAATTGATGGTTCTAGAAAAGAAAGAGATGTTAAATAGTGGTTATGGAAACAGGGTCTTTGGCAAGGGAACTGCAATGCTGACAAGTCTTCTGGGATTTTACTTTTACTTTAAAAAATAATAAAAGCTCCTGTTAGTTCTTCAAATTTTGATAGCGATTTTATTAATGAAAGCAGTAACTGAGACCTGTGAGGATGTTAAATCCAGTTCTGAGCAAGCCCATGTGAACCGGTAAGTGCAACTGAAGGCAATGAAGGAAGGTGGCCAGTGTATCCAGTTATCTGCTATTCATCCACTGATGAAGTGACTGGTTTACTAGCAGAGCTGCCAAGTGTGTCCCTTCAGTTAAGGGAAATTTGCCCTTCTTGCTTGCTCTTAGGAGGAGAGAAGAATCTATGTATTGGTAATAAATGCTGTTAGAGGACAATCACAGCTTTGCTTAATGAAAGTAAAGCTGTTTGGCTATTTTGTGCCTGTACTGTCATAACCATTTAACTCTTGGTGATGGGGAGTGCCAGCTTCAATCATGTGCAAATGCGGAGGAAGCAATGGATGCCTATAATAATACTATACTGGCCTGAAATAAAGACTTTTTAATAATTCGTAAGGTATGCTAAGTTTTCATTATAAACCCAACTTTTAAATTTGAATTCAATCTCTTTGAAGGTAAGTCACTGCTAATAGGAATTCTTTTAAGGTAAGATTTAGCAAAGTCAAATCCCCTTCAATACTGAAGCGGAAAGAAGGAAATCTTACTGCAGACAACTGCCCCTCTGACTTGAATGAATCGATATTCAAGATCTTCACTGTTTTGTGTTTTAAAAAGATTTTTTGTACTGACTTCTAGGACTTGACACTTTCTCAAATCAGACAAGCAATAATTTGATGTTTGGAATTACTTCAGTGTTGGTTCTTGCCTTCCCATGACAGGTGATTCTCTATTTGTCTGTGTAATCAGCACATCCTTGCCTGTATGCCTGAGCATCTGATAAGCAGTTGGTAAAATAACTACTGAGAACTAATTTTATATATAGGGTCTGTCATGCCAAAAATAGTTACTATGCAAATAAATGTCAGGGCAAATGGAAGGAGGAAGTGAAAGATTATAGAGCAGCACTGTCCTGAAATTAGCAAAGTGTGAGGCAAACCAGCACTTCTTGGTGAGTGTTCTAACAAGGAACAAAGTTAATGGGTCCTTCAGGAAAAGGACACTATAAATAGAACATAAATATTATTTCCTTTCCCATAAAATTTTCAGGTGTGGTGTACAGGCTTGTTACTCCTATGTGCACAAATGCACAATCTCTCTTGTTTTCCCTCTTCAGTAAAAATCCATAAGGTAGCCATCTCCTTTTCACTGATGTATTATTAGCTAAATTGTTTGCTTCAAGGTTTTGTTACTGTTCAGTCACACGCTGTCCAGCTCTTTGTCTATTGGAAGTGTTGGTGGCATCATTCATTTCCCAGAATGTTGTAGAGTTGTACTTAAAACCATGAGTTGACAAATGGAAACATTTTTAATGTAGGTATGAAGTCTGCTTCAGTTTCTCTAACCACAAATATTTTGATTCACTAGAATAAACCTTACTTTAGTTGTGACTATTCACATAACTGACCTTGTCATAAATGATGAAATCCTGGCTCTGTGCAGCTATTCACAGTTCCTATTGGCTTTGGAGAAGGCACGCTTTTACATTCCAGATATTTTGAGTCATACCACTTCATGGACTCTTCTCTTATTCTTGCTACCATCTGTAGACCTTGTCCAGGAAAACTGGTGAAGATTTTTGCGTGTTGGGTTTTTCTTTTGTTTTGTTTGAGTTTTAATCAGCAAAGTTTGGTAAATTCCTCTGACCAGTCCATATGAGCTACTGGTTGCAAGGTGTGAGCATCTCCTACTGTGTTTTCAGGAATCAAGTAAACTGCCTTTATTATGATTTCTAAAATGATCAATACAAGACAAGTCAATATTTCACAAAACTGCTATGTAAAGTCTCTTTTAAAGGAATAAGTACACTGTAAAATCATTTTTTTAAATTAATTTTTTTTTTAATGTTTAAACCACAACAATATGGAAAAGTTGTATTCAGAAATTATTTATTTAACAATGATCTTTTTAATTGCGTTTCCTTTAGCTATATGTATCTTGAATTTATGTGCTTTTTGTTGGGTGGGGGGTTTTGATGGGTTTTTGTGTTTTGGGGGGAGTTTTAGGATGTGTGTTTGGCTTTGGGGTTTTGGGGGGGAGTTGTTTTGGGGGGTTGGGTTTTTTTTGTTTGATTTTGTTAGGGTTTTTTAGTTGCTTGTGTTGTGGGTTTTGTTTTTTTTTTTGAGTAAAGCTTTCTGTGTAAGCAATTAATTTTCTTTAGCTTCTAAATAGAAAGTTAATTTACAATCGAATATGTGTCTGGAATATTGGTGCTCACTTTAATTGGCAACAAATGCATATGCTGTTGGAGACAGAGGGCCTGCTCTGCTTTTGTTAGGAAAGCTTCCATTGGCTTAAAAGGTACTTCTTACCCTATTGCCAAGCATTTTAAAGCAGTAGTGTTGGTTCTTTATTTTACACTTAAATTCTATGCCAGAGAAATTGCCTCTTACTCTTAACATGTGGTTTTGTAACTAGATAAAGATCACAGAAGGAAGATATCAGTTATTTGCCTAGTGTTCCTTTGAAATCTATCCATTCCAAGGAAGAAGATGCCATTTTTCTGGGGAGGATGCCCAACTGCTATCAAAAAGAAAATACTGGAAATGAGCACTATAGTATTGTGACAAATATCAATCTTGGGCCAATGTTTATAGCCAACATAGGTGTATCAATGTGTTGTAATGTTTCAAATGCCCTGCCTCCTTTCACTGTTCCAATACGCACCCTATAAACTCTGAGAAGTTCATAAGGTTCTCCATTGCATTCTGAGATTATATTGCCTTGAGTCATGGCTGATACTATTCATGAATAGTTTCTTCTTGTTGCATGAGGAAAAGTGTAAAGGGAAAAAGAAGGGTGCTGTGTATTTTGGGATTGGGTTTTGGGGTGGTTTTTTTTTTTACCCCTCTGCATGTAATGGCACATGTTCTGTGAGAATTTTAACCAGAACTATATGGAACAGGAATATAATAATGGCACACTTGAAGCAGGCGACTGGATTTGGTCAAATTAAGCTTGTATACAGGGCTCCAAGGTTCGTTTCAGAACTGATAGGGTGAGTAACAGTTATCTTAGCAGGGGCGGGAAGGGAAGAAGGGCAGGTTTCTCAGCATGAAGGGAAAACTCAGAGTTTATACTGTTTATACTTGAATCTCTAGCATGCTTTGGTCTTTTTCAGGTGTTAGAAAACTTGTCCTCTTCCATAGGACTGTCCACAATGCGTGTTAGTCCATGAATAAACAGCTGTTAAATATGTCACTTCTGATTGTGATTTTGTCCAGAGTTAAGTTATGTCACTCCAGGTCATTCTCCTGTCTTTACCTAGGATTTGTTTTCTTGTGGTAAAGGTGTACTAAGCATTATATATTTACGAAATTCTCTCAGTGCTGCAAGAAATTAATAAATACAAAGGCCACTTCAGAAACTCCCTTTACTTACTGCAGCCAGATCCAGATAGTGGCTGGAGGTTTTGATAATCTTTTATATCACGGCTTTCATGTCAATTCTAATACCTTGTTATTGACATGCAGAGTTCCCTTGTGTTCCTTAGATGCCGGCTAGGCTAAGGCACCAACTGCCACCTTGCCTGAGCTACTGAACTCTACACTGAGCTTTTAAGACCAAATAAAGCTACAAGCATGAACCTATACAAAAAAATTAACCACCAGTGGTGCACAGATGAGACTGAGCATGTCTAATGTGGATGCTGCATGTGGGTTTTATGCTTTTGTACAGTATTTTTATTTGATGTAGTTAGTTACTTTGTCTCATGTGTTACTTTGCAGTACCATTCTGAAGGACTGGCTTCTGGGAAGCTTTTAAGAAGAAGCTGAAATTCTATAGAAGTTGAGGGGGCTCACGCTTCCAAAAGTCCATAGGAAGATTCTTGCAGAGGTCTTATTAGTTTTGTTTCCTCTAAAAAGGTTACTTGTTTTAAAATTAAGGGGGCTTTTTAGAAGTGGTTTGTTCTTTGGAGTTTTGTTTTTAATCCTCCTAGCCACCTTCCATTGTGCACTGCAGCACCCTTCTCTATGTGAATGGTTTCATTTTGAATATTCTGATTTGGAGATACCCATGACCACAGCTCTCAGAAAGCTATGCGAAAGTATTTCTCTCTTTTTCTGCTGTTAAGTAAAAGCACAGCCAAGACTTACAAAAATGTAACAGCACATTGTCTGCTAAGCTGTTAAGCAGTTAACTTGACTTGTTTGAAACAGGGTCCAAGTTTGCCCTAAGGTGTCAGACCATGCCTGACAAGTTATAAATTTGGTGATTCATAAAGTGTGGCTAACTGGGGGGTTGGGAACGTTTTAGGAAGCTAATCCTGTTTGATAAACAGTGGTGTAGTCATCAATAACAAAGCAAAAATATGCTCCCTGTGGAAGGTGAATGTTTAATAGAAATCTTGTATCCATTTACATAAATGCCAGTGTTTTGAGAGATATTCTCCTGCTGTTACCCAACAGGAAGAAAAATGTATGGTTCTGTATTTGGGCACTCCTAACTAGTTCTCCTTTGTGGTTCCTAACTTGAAATGTTCAATATGTAATCTAATAAATGCATTTTAGATTCTTTTATGTGCATTTGGAGTTTTAACATCGTTTTCAAGTACCCCGCATTGCCCAAGCTTGTAGAGAGATTTAAAGGAGGGAAGGGCTGGTTTTCAGTTTGTTCTTAATCAGGGATTTAATGTATTTCTTAATGAAGTAGTGCTTAATGCATTAAAATATGACCAAAGGCTCTCTTGCAAGCCTTTACTTGTTCACGGAAGTTAAAGGCTTATTTATATGAAGGTTTCATGATTAGTGTTGATTGATGCTTTTTTAAAGTTTTTGTACAAATTGTATTTCAAGTAGCAATTTAAATATTTCTGTACACTCTTAGAACATCACCACATGCAGCAAAACCACAAGACCCTGAGGTACTCAAAGATCTCAGAATAAAACAAGCCACAGGATCATGTATAAACAGATACAAATGCGGGGGAGCAGGGGGTGGGAACTGCAAGGTACTGGAAGTCTGTGTACTGTATAAATATCTGAGATACCAAATAGATAAGACTGTAGCAACAGTGAAAGAAAACATAAGCAAAGCCAGTTACTTCAGTCCATAAATGAAGGTTAAGGCATGCAGCTCCTCGTTGCTCTTGGACAAAACCCAGCAATAGCGACAGACGGCTGCTCCACAACTGCCTTTGCAGCATGTGGAGCTGCCTGTTCCTTTAACTGGTGGTTGCAGCGTGCTAATCCAGAAAATGGAGGCTTGCTTTCTGTGGTCCTGGGATGAAAAGCTTTGTTGCAAATATGTGAAGTTTTATATAGGCTGCATCAGGCTTGGTGTGAAAATTGTAACTTAAATATGGGGGGAGGAATTTGGTTGATTGATTTTTCAGATCTTTTCTTGATGTTGCTCTAGTGTACTGTGTTTGAGTCCCAATTGCAAACTACCAAAGGATGATTGTTCTTTGCTAATGACCCTTACTGAAGTAACAGGTGGGCTGGGTGATTTGGTGCTAAGTCTAAGAATGAGCTGTAGTAATGCTCATATGACAGAATTACTATGGAGAGATTAGAGGGGTAGCTAAAAAAAAAGCCGAAAACAAGAAAACTGAGTTGCTTCTTGAAGCATTGCTTCAAGGGAGGGGGAAACTTGAAATACATACATGCGATGAAAGGGAAAAGCTCAAGAAATTGTAATATTAAAGAAGGCCTATGAGTGATAGCAGGTAGCAAGTTAGTTGCTAAGTTACGAGGCAATTTTGGACAGCAGCTATGTAGGCAAGGATGGTTTAACGGGTCTGTGCCGAAGTTCCCATGATCAGAGATTATATAGAGGCATTATGTCAGCGTCAAATCATGGCACACAGAGTACCGTGATTCTGTTGCTGGGGAAGAGCTCTGTGCTGCCAGAGAAAGGAGCTGCATTGCTTTCTGCTCCATGTAGGGCTGGGGGAGGGGGCAGCGCCAGCCTTTGTGCCTCGCTCAGTCCCACACTCTGATGAGTCCTCCAAATTCCAGCTCCTACTGGGATAATTATATGGGGAAATCTAGCTTTTAAGAGCAGAGAGGTAGCTCCTGCCTATTTTTCATAGCACTTCCTACCAGGGCTGCAAGCACTTCAAAATATTATCCTCTCAGAAGAGATCCCAGCCTGCCTGAGGATAGCAAACAACGGCCCTTGCCATAATCTTTTCTGTAGTGGGGATGAAATAGGACTGTTGAGGGATAAAAAGAGACTCTAATCTTTTGCTGGGATCCCAAGGGTTGAATGGCTTTTTTCCCAGAATGGAATCTAGCCTTTCCAAAGACAAAGACCGGTGAATTCAGTGATGAGTCCCTAGCTAGCCAGGATAATAGATTCACTCAATTTAAACCTTGTCCCCAGAGGCCTGTATGTGGGTTGTTGTTGTCTGGGGTTCTTTTTGTTTTATTTGTGGTCTCTGCTACCACAGAGCTCAGATGGATGGAGCTGCTCATCAAATACGTAAAAAGCATTTGTGACAGAGACTGATAAATATGGCTGAGCACATCTAGATATTACAGGCTTTGTTTCTTGCAGTTGACTGGCATCAGTGCCAGAATCTTGATTTCATTCTTCTCCCATATATAATCAATGTTAGTCAACTAGTCAGACTCCAGAAGCCACATTTGATCTGTATGACAATCATGGTCCTCTGAGCTCTTTCCCCAGCACATCCGATTTAATTTACCTTGGATTGCTTCCTCCAGTAGTACAGGGGGCTTTTCAAATAATGTAAAGGGAAGAATCCTTGGAGAGGTAAAAGGAAGACTGCATGAAAAGAAGTGTAGTTTTACCAAGGGTAAATTGTGTCAGACTAATTTGGCACCTTTCTTTGGTAATAACTGTATAACAGACTTTGTAGGCAAAAAAACCCACAACAGGTCTAACAGATCTTGACTTCAGATTCCACAGCATCTGACTTGAAGAAATTACAAAGATAATGCTATTAAGAAGTAACCTCATGATGACATGACATCGCTGGGGTTTGAGAAAAAACAGTTCAAAAGTGGAGAAGAGCTCCTAGGATGTTCAGAAACATGATTTATTTAACCTAACAAATGAAAACTGAAGCTAAGCTGACTCTGGGCATGCTCTCAAGGGCACTATGTTAGTAGCAAACAGAAGAAAAATCAAGTAATTATGTAAGGTGAAGGACACAGACTTGTCATAAATACATCTAGGATGGAAATGATAAAGACGTTCCTGATCACTGGAGAATTTAGGATTTGGAATAATGGTCCAGTAGAAGCAGCAAGAAATCTGGCTGGAAGACTAGCATGAACCAACATGGCCACGTTAGACTGTGTGGTGCTTATGTTAGCAAAGACAGGACTCCATAGGGAACTTACCTCTGTTGTAGGTTTCTATAAACACCGGAGTGTAAAGCTTATTTTTTTGCCTAGCTGGAGACTTGTACCAGGGTTGTAACTACCTTATTATATCCATCAGTTCAAGTGTCAGGACTCTGACAGCATTTCTTTTACAGTAATTTCAGTAGATCAAAACCATGTCATGCCCTAGTGTTCAATGAATATGAAAAATGTGATTTTTAAAGTCTTCTAATCTTCTGCCAATGCATCTGAGATAATTTACTGTAAAGCTCAAGACAGCACTAATAGGCTACTCCCCTCAATGCAGCATGAATTTGAAAGGGTAAACATCTAGATTCTGAAGTGCACTAAGGCTCATGTTCATCCTGAAATAATCTTTTACATTTCTTTAAAGCTATTTTTAATATATGCGAACACCTAATTATAGCTAATGTGCACTTCAATTATCCTCCCTTCCTGCTAGGTCCTCAGCAGATGAACAGTCCCCAGAAAGAGTCTTTAGGCTGCGTGCTCCCCTCCTCATTACACCTTGATGGATCTTCTGTTCTGCTCCCAGAAGTCCAAAGGTGAAAACGGGTAAGTGTGTGTATATACATGTGTGTACATGTGTGGGGAGGGGCAAGGAAGGACACATCTGCCCTGTTTCACATTCGCTATGCCCAACCCTGATGTTTATGCACACAGTTATATCTATCTGTACACACAGTCCTGATACGAACAAAGAAGTTTCTCACCTTTGTATGAAAGCCATTTCTTGGAGTGCCAAAATCCTAGGCCCATAAGCAATTCAGGTTTTTACAGTCTTCTTGACTCCCCTCTGCAATCTGGGCCTTCCCTTCCATACTCAGCCCCAGATGCAAAAGCCACCTCACTTAAGGACAGCCTTAGCACCTTGCTCCCCTTCAGTGTGGGCACCTCTGCTGCTCCTCACTGTCCTGGTCCTGCAAGACTCTTCTGTGAGAGAGGCGGAGCAGTATTTCAACAGCTGGCCTCAGCCCAAATGAGACTGATGGGAAGTTGCAGCCATCTTGAGAGGAAATATAAAATGGAAGCCTCTCCTGGTATCTTGATGGTATAAGTAACCTCTGCTCCTTTTCCCTCCACCAACTCCAGCTGCTGGTCATCATCCAGATCTCAGATGTTGCAGCGCTGCCCTGCAAGCCTCTGCTTTGTTCTGTAGCACTGCACTGCTGGCAGCACTGTGTTTCGCCTTTGGTGAAATGACACACATCTGCTGTTCCTAAAGCGCTGTTAACCTGCCCTCCTCAGCCAATAGAAGAGTTGCCATAACCAAGCCGTTAAGATGTGATGGGGAGACAAAATTAAGTGATTTGGGAGGTGAAAGCTTTCAGCTTGCGTCTCCTCTGTTATTTACTTCTTTATTTAGGTTTCCTGGGGAGAAATAGCTAAAGCCCTTTAAAGAAGGTTCTTCATTGGCAGCTTGGTAAAGCAGCAGTGGGAGTGTGTATTGAAGAAACTGGAATAAACAACAAAACCAAAACATTAGGTCATGATTCAAACAAATACGACAGAGGGAGCACTTGGAGCAGACGATGTTTATTGCTCAGTGTAGTCTGAAATCCAGGCAGTGTGCAGATGTAGTCCAGTGGAGCTCTCCCAAAGCTGGGGATGGAATGGTGCACAGGGAGCAGACCACAGAGGAGCAGCACGTATTCCTTTGGAAAGGGGCAATAATGATTGTGCAGCAGACTGGGAATATTTAGCCATATAAAAGGTCTCAGTGCTAGCAGCAGCAACAGAAGCTTTTGCACATTTCTTTATTAAAAAAAAAAAAAAATCAGACTTAACTTTTAGGGTGAGATAGCAGGTCAGCCACCATTTCTTACACAAACTATTGCAGCTACAAATGACTGTGGGAAGACTTCTTATTCAGCCCTGTTGGTTTTCTTGGTTTTTTAAGAAGAGAAAAGAGCTGAACTTCTGAATCTAGTTTCCTGTGGAAACAAAGCTTACGCAATCGGTGTTTGTCCTGTACCTAATAATTCTCTGTAACCCTCTGGCAAATCAGATTTTGACTACAGTTGAAAGAGTGATAATGTTGAACATAATTCTCTTTTTAAAAACATTTCATGAAATCTGGCAGTGGGATGAAGGACAGACAGTCAGGTTGCTACCTTGACCGAAGAAAAGGGAGGAAGATCTCAGCCATTTTATGTTGCTTGCCAGCCAGCTGGCCAGTCAGCACACACGTGCTGACAGTGAGTATTTTTATAACTCCAGACTAGCTCCAGAGTCTGTCTCTCGGTAGTGACAGAGTCATCAGAGGCATGAGGAGAGCTGGGATTATTGTGGTGAAGGAGAAAGATGTGGGACAAAGGACACAAATCCATAGGAAATCAGGCTTCGTTAGTTCTGCTGCTCAGGAACAACATGTTTGTCTAACAATAGCTTTCTGCTGAAGCACGTACGTCAGAACCAGATTAGATTTCTATTTGCATACCTCCTTACCTTTCTCAGGAATGCCTCTGGCATAAAACTCCTCAATTCTCTTTCTTCCTTAAGGCATGGCTCTCTCCTGGCAAGTAACTATAAAAGTTGCATCTTATTTCTTAATAGATTTATTACTTTGTTTACTTAAAGTCAGATGAACTCGGTTTAATAACAACAAATGTTTTCTGCTTTTTTTAATCCTCTTGGCTCTTCAGAAACAACATAGCAGAGAGACAGCAAATGAGCTGGGTGCAATTCCATGTTGTGCACACACACACTGGCAGCAGAACCTGAAGACAGCCTTCTTCAATGTAAACAAGGCATAAATTTATCCTACAGAACCCTTGTAGCCGATGATCTGAGAGGCAAAGAATCAAATGGATTTCTGAAGCACAGGATGAGCCTGTAGCACTGACAGGAAGAACAGGATTTTTTTGTTTTCTTGTAAACTTAGCATGCTTCATATGTACTTGTTGAAATAATAATTATTAAAAAAAAACCAACAAAACAAAACCCAAACCACAAGAACACTTTTACAGCCACCGGTCAAAAGAAAGCTGTAGTATCCAAGAGAGTTTTTAGTCTGTCTAGGGTCTGTGTTATGCTTGTTATAATGATATCAGTGCTTCTAAATTAGAGTAGCAATGCCCAGATTCCACAGGGATGTGTGTCACAGAAATGCATGTGCTAGTAATTAGAACAGAGTTTTCAAATATTGCTTCAGATTTAGACAAGAACCTTTTTATGCAGCTGTGTAACAAAACAAGGAAGCTAGAGCCAGACTAGGGGGACAGCATTAATACACGACACAACCACTAACATAGCTTGAGACCTTCCTTGCTATTGTTGCCACTAGCCACACCAAGGAAAGGAAGTGTTTTCAAATACTAGGTGGCATTTCCGAAGCTCAGCTTTTATGGAAGTCCATCTAAACCCCAGCTGAACATTCCCACTGCTACCAACTCCAGAAATTCAATCCAAAGAATAACTACTTACTTAGAAAGAAAATGAGATACAATTACAGTTAAACAGATACTACTTTTTTAGATCACTACTTGGCTACTCAGTGTCCAGCCATTAGTATTGTGCCTTTGCAGGGGCAAATATTTGATGCTTCAGGGGAAAAAAAAAAAAAGGGCAGAAAGAGCCAACTAAGCTGACTAAGGGGTAGTCCTTCCTGATCCCCCCATGGACAAGGAGTCTGTGAAAAGAAATACAGAGCAATTACCCTAATCACAGTCTTAGCAAATGCGATTAATGATCAAACGGTTTTCCAACATTTCGGCAAATCCTGTCTTACTGTTATTTGTCTTAAATTCCTCCCACAGAAATAAGCTGTGTAAGTTGACGAAATGCAAATGTGAAAAGCACTACCTTTTGTGTCCCAGGGGTGCTATAACTTGATTATATCCAACCTACTCTTTCATAGCTGACCTAATTTCTTCCGTTGTTATAATTCTAGAAGGAAGTTTTTACAGTTTCTTTGTACATTATATGGATTAGTACTCCAAGGTACCTGGACAAAAAAAGAGATGAAGACCAGTCTTTTGCACCCGGTACACTGTTGTTTTAATTTAGCTGAGTGTGTCTAGTGGAGGAACACAAGAGCCTAATTTTAAGACTTTCTGATTTTGTTCACCTTGACTTTATGTGTTCGAAGGCTAAAATAAACCTTCTGTGGCACATGCACAGGAGCTAATGAATTAACTCCAGTGACCAGCTTAACTGCTAAGAAACTTTACACTGGGTCAAACCTAATGCATTGGTACACTTACAATCTAGCAGCTTAGATTTACTTTCTAAACGAACATCTCAAATGTGCCATTAGGAGGCTAAAATACACCCACTGGCAAGGGCTGCACCCCAATAATGTGTTCACCTGAGTGTTAAGCTGAATCAAAGGGATCCTGCTAAAAGCAACGCTGCACCCAGTGCAGTGGCAAAGGGGATGGGATTTGTCTCACAGTTTTTGCAGTAACTTGCTATAGTCTGTCAATGTTTGCTCAGTTGCACCTAGTCAAACTGGTTTACATTGTCTCCTGCTTCATCATTTGTAAGTAATCCTTTCTCTCTTTTTTTTCCCACTTCTTTTTATTCAAACTTGCTGGTGCTCACAGTTGTGCTAGGATTGTTATTAGAAAGCATCAAGAGGGTCAAAACCAGGGTGGGCTTTAGAGGCCTTGTCTGGAATTCAGACTTTAAGTGCTTAAAATCACTTGGTTTTGGTGTATGTTCATTTAAGCAATTAATACATGTGACTGTGTGTAGTATGGTGCTTCAGAGTCTTACCAGCCCTTCCCTATCCCTATGCGGTTCAAGTAACTACATTTTTCTGTGATGGCACATGCCTAGGGAGAAATCAGCAAGTGTTTTTTGAATGTCACAAGCTGAAACCTTTCCCCTTGCTCACAAGGGGAGACAGGCCAGCTTGCAGCAATTTTTAATCCAGGAATGCAAACTCTGGGGAGATGAAGTGTCTTGAATAGCTGTGACAGCAGACCTAATTCAGGGTAAAGATTCTGGGACTACATAAATGGCACATCGGAGAGGAGATGTGGAAGGAGCCTGCAGAAACCATGGATGAGTAACCTAGGTTATTGTGTTAATGGGATGATGTTTTGCTTTGAGGTCTACTACTGTAGAGAGAGACTGAGTCACTTTGCCTTGGCCTATGTCATGGGGAGGGGAAGGTTAGGATTTACATTTAATGACAAAAATAGCTGTACAGCTGCCAGGGAGTGCCTTGAGTCCCCCCACCACCACAGCTATCCAGGAGAGTTACAGGGAACTTTTCCTTTTAGCCTCCTTTATGCCACCAGCCTGTTTTCTCTAGCCAAGCCTCTCCAGACATTCTTTATGTCCAGGCAGCTTTATAGCTTCTCCACTGGTGTTTGGTGAGATTGCTTTTTCTTCTGGGTTCAAGCCTGGGAAGTGGTGGACAGCAGGGCCCCCACTGCTTCCCACTGCACCTCCTCTGGCCTGGAACCCCTGGTACAGAGGAACCTCTCTGAATTGTCAGGAGCCCCCCTCTCCAGGGAACATGGCTTTCTTCTCCCATTGGCATTGCAATGCTATCAGCCCCCGCTGAGGCAGTATCTGATTTCCCTGTTTTATCTTCGAGCACCAAGTACAGCATTTCATATATAGAAAAATGTGAATATTACATATCCTGTTACAGTGCTATAACATACAATGGGAATAGGCTGGTGTAAGTCCCTTTTATACAGCTTATTAGCCTCCCTCATAGGGAATTAATGTTTTTTATTGATGTAGTTGCATCAATACATAGCACCCCATGTAAAAATAGGACAAGAAAAATCCCTGAGGTAAGAAATTTTGCTGGCCAGTTTTAGAAAAAACTTCATATGCAACACTTCTGTTTCAGGTGTCCTGTTATTGTTTGTACACAAGAGAAGCTATTCTTTACAATGGGCTGATCAGTCATTTTGACAAGTAAGCATGCTCACTCATAAAGCAACATACTTACCGTGGGACTCACTTTGAGAAACTTGCTCTACCAGAGAGTGATGGGGCCTATATATTAGAGAAGGAAAAGAGCATTTCAGTCATAGGCTTGCCAAGATGGTGAAAAGGGCTTTAAACTAAAGTTGCTAGAGGAGGTGAACCTCAAAACTTCCCACTCCTACCAGTTCAAGTGCCAGCAGTACATGCCCAGAGCCTAGGGAGAGATCTCAAGTCAGCAAAACCTCCAGGGCCCCCAACACAAGAGGTATGTGGACCTGTTAGAACGAGTCCAGAGGAGGTCACAACGATGATCAAAGGTTGCAGCACCTCTCCTGTGGAGACAGGCTGAGAGAGCTGGGGTTGTTCAGCCTGGAGAAGAGAAAGCTCAGGAGACATCTTAGGTGCAGCCTTCGAGTACCTAAAGGGACCTACAAGAAATCTGGAGAGGGACTTTTTACAAGGGCATGTAGTGACAGGACAAGGGGGAATGGCTTTAAACTAAAAGAGGGGAGATTTAGATTAGATACACAGAAGAAATTCTTCACTATGATGGGGTGAGGCACTGGAACAGGTTGTCTGGAAAAGTTGTGGCTGCCCCATCCCTGGAAGTGGTCAAGGCTGGATAGGGCTTTGTGCCCTAGTGTAGTGGAAGGTGTCCCTGCCTGTGGCAGGACAGCTGGAACTAGGTGGTCTTTAAGGTCCCTTCCAATCCGAAACATAATATGGTTCTATGACCTAGCTCCATGCGTGACTAAACTGAGTAACTACGTAATTACGTATCTGTAACTCAAGCCTTCTCTGCTGCACCCGTCCTTGCATAGGTTTGTTTTATTCTTTCCTGTCATGTCCATTATTCATACTGCACAAAGCACAGTGCCCCAGGTGATGTTTTATCACAGGTAATTTTTGAATTGATACATTTTACAGCTCCCTTGTTCTGCTCAGAATTCAGAGGTGATACTGATTTAAAAATCTGAAGAAGACTCATCTTCAAGTGTATACAAACTTGTATTCTGCCCTACTCATTGCTTTGAGTATTAGGCAGAAGTGCCACTAGAGTTTTTACTGGACTGGTTATCCCCTCCAAATATGAGCATTCACATGGTTTATAGTAGAGGTGGCAGAGCTACGTCTACAGACTATCAGGCTCTAGGACCCCAAACTGGTGAAATTACTTTGTTTAGATTGGCATTAACAGAGCTACATACAACAGCACTGTTCAGAGGATGAATCCCTAAATTGGAAAGTTCTAGACAGAGATTCAAACAGACCATGGAATTGCTGGACTGGGCAAAAAAGCTGTTAGCCTGTTAAGTCAGCCTTAGTCATTTTCTTCCTTCCTCAGTGCAGCCACAATTTCCATCCTGCATACTGTCCTAAAAAAAATTTTAATATCTGTTTCAGTGCTCTCTAGGCAGCTAATAGATTCTTCCTTATATGTGTGATTGCTTGACTTTCATCAGCTTCTGTTTATTTGCTCACTGTACTTTTTAATCCCTCAGTGATGAGAGAAAAAAAACACAACCAACCAGGCAAACAAAACCAACACTAAAACTATTTTTTTTCCCCAGTTTCATCAAATTGTTCTTTAATATTGTTGGGCTTTTTTTTTTTCTTTCTTTCTTTTAGGCTAAATTAAGAGTTAACTCCAGTTTCCTCTCTGGCTTCTTCAAGTTTACCTGAAAGGGCCAGGGTAGAGGGGAAAGATAACTTGCCCAACTTTTATGATTTGTATTATATCTATTCAGGCAGAATGAGCAGAAGTATGAAACAAGGAGTGTCAACAAATTTCACAAGGATTAATGTTTGCATCACTGATAATGCAGAAGGAGAATCGCATGGCATGATAAGAAGTAAAAGTGATCAGAAGGCGGTGTGACTGCGAAAGGGGAAGAAAATGAAAAGTTGAATGATGGTAAAAGAGGGAGTCAGGGGAGGGATTTAAACAGGTGAGAAAATGTGCAGGAATAATTGTATTGACTTTTGGTTTGTAATAGCAGGGAAGGGGCAATTACAAATATCTCCCATGTAGATACAGAGGAAATGAAAAGGGAGGGGACATACAAGAGTAGTGTGACTTTGAGAGAAAAGGTTGCAAGCTTGAACATGGTCCCACTGCCTTGGGCTAGGACTAGTTTTGATTAGTCCAAGCAACGGGGTCAGAAAAAACGAAGGGCTTATAAATACAGTAGAGGGATTGGAGTAGCACTTCAGCGGGCTCCTCAGAAGTTCAGCAGCAGCCATGTGTGAACGTCAAATTGGCAAAGACACTTCCCCAGGAAGACATAGCGGCTAAAATGTAGAACTGGATGGATGAAGAGACCAAGATAAATGCACACGTCACTGATGCAGAATGCTGCCAACGTGACTGGGTACTGATCTGCATGGAGAGACAGAAGCCTGCTGAGATTTCCATGCCGAATGGGAATGGAAAAGAAAGCCTCAGCTGTCAAAAGGGAGAAGTGAGGATGGAGTCGTGAAAGCCAAGGAGGGAAAGTGTTGAGAGGAAAGATAAAGTTGGCAGAGAGATGACAAAAGTAAGAGACGGGGATCAGCGAAGATATAAATAAAGACAACCTTTTCTAAGGAAGCAGAAGTCATGGGAGCAATGAGAGTAGATAGCAGAATGTCAGAAATGCAAGACAGCAGAAAAGAGGCTTGGAAATAGTTGCTGTATGTGAATTGTGGTATTTAGTCTTGGTGAGAGATGAGCCAAGGAAATTACTAACTGTTGTGAATATTGAGAATATTCTAGTGTGCACACTAGAGGAAAGTTAGCGGAGGCTCTGAAGGACTAGAGGGAACAAAAGAGAGAGAAGTGTTAAGAGCATGTGAAAGAAAGTGGTATGAGTCTTAATATCTTTAGGAATTGGTCTATGCAGTCTTGCACTGTAAAAAGAAGTCATAGGAGAATTCTTACCATCATGGGTAAGGAAGCTGTTTTCAGACTTTTCTTTCCACTGTCTGAAACCTGCTGGATGTACTTTAGCATCAAAACTGGTTTTCAGGCAAATGAGCAAGATGGAAGGCAAGAATTAGCCATAAGGAGACAGAGTCAAGGGAAAGGAGGGAAAGATTTTGCTAGAGGAATATGGAGCTATTTAATTACCCTAATTGGCATAATCTATCGTTTCCTACAGCATCATTGTACTGAAAGTCTGCGTAATGAGAAGTAGGATTCAGATCACTTGACAGACAGGCAGATGTACCTGCTGACTTCAAAGCTTACGCCTGCATCTCTTTTGTCAAAGATGAGAAGCAGGGAAAGAAAAACCAGTTTTCAAAGTCAGGGTCAGCAGAGACGAGCATATCATTTGCATTTTGCTTTATTAATGTGGGTTAGCTCAGCAGGCAAAGATAAATGATTTCGTAACAGGAAAAAGAGGGCCAGTGACTGCACATCTTTTTTTCACCTAAAGTGCTGGTGAGGGGACTTTGGGGAGGGGGTCATATTCCATTTCAGTCAGGAAATACAGATGTAGGCTGGACCAAAAGGTCTCTGAATATTTCACCAAGGAAAAATCATGACAAAAAAAAAAAAAGGAGCTAGGCCCTGCAGTTATCATACAGGCTTGCTCCTAGGTGGTGATGGTTAGCTCCTGCTGCATTGGGTGCATGTATTCTTCCACTGTGTTTAGTCTGAGCAGCTCACAGACCCGGCTCTATCCCTGGTTTCCTACACAGAAAGTCTCTGTTACCCCTCTGTGGAAATGAGACCTCTTACAGCTTGGCTTCTATAATCTCTGAAAACTCCTCCTATTGCCCCACATTTCCCATAACTCAAGCACAAGTTTTGTCCCTCCCTTCCTATAAAGTAACATGGGGTTACTGAGTACAGAGCATCTCTTCATGGACATACGGCTGTGGAAGTAATTTGGCACATGTTTTAAGGAGTGCTAGCACTGATCATGCCCTACTGAGGCAGCTCAAAAGCATACAGATCTAGGAAAATAATTGGTATCTGTGTGGTTTTCCTTGCCTGAATTTTCTGTTTTCTTTGGGCTCAGAAGACTTTGAAGCTTTCTACTCTCCTTCAAACCATACAAAACATCTTCCTTAGCTGTGAGTTGGATCTCACAGCTAAACCAATGTGCTATGAAAGGAAGGTTGCCTTTTCTGCTCAAGGTTTTTGTGACTTTGAGCGCACTCCAGCTTGTCAGGTCCATGGTGGCATTAAGACAGTTTCTCTCACTGCACCAAGTAATTATTTGCTGCCAAAAAGGGGCTATTCCACTCCACTTCCTCCTTAGCTGTGCGCCCCAGCAGCTTCCCTTCCTGTGGCACTGGAGCTCATCTTCTCTCGCTGCAAAAATTTCAAGAGACCTAAAGTAGTAGAAAACTGGTTTTGCCAAACAAGGTGACCAGCATTTTTAACGGATTAGCCAGGGGAGCCATCCCACCATTAGGATCACATGAGCACAGCCTGGGCGAGTCAGGACTGCCCCATTTGGTGTCAGAGAGCTGTACAGATGCTTAGCTGCATCATCACACCATACCCCACAGCTCAATCCTGGCCTATACATCTGAGAAAGTTCATCTATTCCTCACTTATCAGGCAAACACAGCAGGACTGATTTAGCCTCTAGCTGTATGACTTTCCAAACATGCATCCATTTTGAATGGGAGCAATTGAGTTCTAGTAACTGTCTGCCTTCTCATCTCTGGAAGGCATGTGACACAGGCCTGATGGTTCAGCTCCACATCCACTGAGAGATGTGGTAACTCAGCAATTTCTTACCTTAAATCAGAATACAAAAATTACACACAGGCAGAGTTCCCAGATTGTCACAGTTAGGAATGGTGAAGCACCTACAAATTGTCCCAGGGCATGTGCTATTTTTTCCCTGATTATATTGGCTCTGGTACCAGAACCAAAGGACAGGGATAAGTGGGTACTGAATTGAGATGAATTTATTCCTATTTTGTATTGAGACTGACATATGTTTCAGTTTATGGCACTATTATTGAAATGAAAATATGTAAGGTATGCTGTATTTTGTGTTCCAATTTACTGGTGTAAATGAAGTGAGATTTTTTAATCCTTTGAACAAAGTTACCTCAGAAAAATTGTGGCACTTTCTTCTCCGGATTGCAGTGACCTAACATTGGTATATTTTTGTGTGTATGACTCTGGGTCTTTCTTCTTTTCTTTTCCTTCATGCTTTCTCTGTTGGCACAGAGATAAATCCAAATTTCAGCAACCTGTTCCCAGGGCTAAACAGACGATCTACTGCCTTTTAACTGTTATTTTTTTAATTTTGTGGATTCTGCTTTGTAATCTCAGACAAGAAAAGTTAAAAGCAGGGCAGCATTGCACACTCTAATCTTTTGGAGTATATTTATATCGTGCATGAACATGATAATTTTACTTAAGATTGAACATGTATCTAAGATAGAAAACCTGATAGAATATTTGAGAAATGAGAACAACTCTTTTGTCTTCAAATCTGGTAATTCAAAACTAATTTGTCAAACTAGAGGCTTGTGTTGGCTTGCATCATAGTGTTGTAATACCTGTAACATACAACATAACTACTTCTGTGATCTTTTGATTTGGTTTTGCCTAAACTTTAAATAGTACAATAAAATTTTCTGGGTAAGTAAATGCACTTATGGAAACTTTGCATTGTTACACAGGTTTCTAAACACAGCACTGTATTTTCATTTTGAAGGAAAATAGATGCCACTTCTTTAATTACCACCTTTTAGCTCTGTTTGCTTACTTAGAAACATACTTACATATCTAAAGAAAGGAGTCTCCTCCTCTTCGAAGAAGTTATGCAATCACTGTGTCTCACAAAAAACCTTGGGCGGGGGGGGGGGGCTTTTCAGCATGGCAAAGTGGATGTATTTCAGACCAATACAGAAATACGATCAGTTATAAATTGTACATGACTAAATGTGTGGGGTTTTTCCATAGGATGACAGGAATGTTTAAGTAGCGGACTGCAGTGGAACTGCAGCACACCTCACTATCTGTGGCCACCCCAGCGCATGTTGTGCTGATGTGATGTGTAAAAAATGAAAGATTACTTAAAATGACTTCTGATCTCTCACCTGCAGGAGGGCCCCCACTTGCTGCAGCAGTGCAGACAGCTTTGAATGAATCACAGTATTCCAAGAATCACTGACAAACCTTGTCACATGGGCAACCCACAGCACAGGAGCTGCCAGAATGATGCAGTGACTAAGGAGGCTGATGTGATCCCTGGATGTAGAATACCTTCTGTAGGAGTGAAGAGGTGATATTACAGTAACATTAAGGGAATAGTGTGTCTTGTTCTGGTGCCCACGCTTGAGAAAAATGATGTTGACAATTTAAGCTTCACAAAGGAGCAATAAGAGTTACATGATATCTAAGCAAAGATGATTTATGGTAAGAGACTTACAATCAGTCTCTTTAGTTTATTGAAAAGATTAAGAGGGAACCTGATGATGAACAGTAGGCTGTGCAGGTTCTTAACTGCAAGGGGCTCTGTCATCCTATAGTCACAGACATAGTCACAGACATAGCCACATCCCATGGCCAGAGGTGAAAGCTAGAAATAAGGTGGATAGAGTAGTTCAGGGTAAAGATCAATTATCTCCATCACAGTATTGTGCTTGGATCATATTCTGGCTTCACAGCCAGAAGCCCTTTTAATTACTATGGCAAAGGTGTCATAAAATGTATGCATGAATAATTGAGATGATATGCTATGTAAATAGGGCCCTATACAACTAACCTCCAAGAATTCAAAAGGGCCAACTGGGACATCTGCATTCTAATAGCTCTTAAGGGAGGACTGTGCAAATCAAGGACTTTTGCTGTTATGGGCAATTCCAGGACACCCTAGTTATGGCCTTCCCAAAATCATGACTGGCCTGTATTCCTTCCTGCGACATCTCAGCCATGCTAGCCTGTAAAACAATACATCATTCATCTTCAAATTCCTCCTTGGGGCTGGATTCAGAGGTCATACATATATTCAGGGAAAATACTCCTATGCTTCTCTCCCATTAAAATCAATGAGTTTTCAGGCTGTCTGAAGATAAACATAGAGTTCAGACTTCCCTGAATGCAGCCAAGCAGCCTACTGATTGTGTCTAGGTAAAGAGCCGGTAGGGATCTTTCTTTCATTTCTTTGACTTCACACCAGTTTATTTCATGTTGTCTATTTAGATGCTAAGTGCTTTAAAGCACAAACTGTCATTTCTATGGATGTAGTGTTTAGCACAGCTGAAGCCTGTCTTGATTGGGAGTTCTAGATGCAACTTGAATGCAGATAATAGAAATTTATAATACGACTTGAATTAACGCTTAGTCTCCCATGCTGTACAGTTTGACATCAGTGTTGCTTTATCCCATTTACAAAAGCTACAGTCTTTCTGAAAGGACTCATCAAATGCTGTTGTAGGAAGGATTTTGTGCTTTGTCTCATAGCAAACATTTCCAGAACTGGACTGTTTCTTTTCTATGATCATTGCAAATTAAGACCACACACATTTCATGTTCTCAAAGAACAGCAAAAGAAATCAACATTTGCTAAACATAAATTAATCTAGATCTAGCTAAGGACTCAAAAACCAAAATACTTTTAGTACACATGGGCATCACTATGTCCTTGGGTAACTGCCTGCCCTCAGCTCTCAGTACATAGCTCTAGTTGCTAGCAGATCCTGGTTGAAATTCAAATCAGTTTCAGCATTGCTGCTGTCTCTTCTGATTGACTCTGTTGATACACTCAGCTAGTGGGAGGGACAGGGGAGCAAAGCAGGCAGAATGGAGCAAATGATTTCTAACACACGCTTAGGCTATTCAGCAAAACATTATGGCTGTGGGGGCCTGACACTGCACAAGTGCTGGGATTCCCCATGCCCTGCCATGGAGCACTCCAGAAAAATGAGAGCAGTATTTTTTCCCTTTTTTTAATGTTGGAAGCATTAGGCCCAGACAGCGGTTGAAAACCACAGCTCAGTTGGTGATGAGCACTGTGCAGCAGCGGAAGCGTGTGGAAAAATTCTGGCTGACTCATCCATAATTCATCTGGCGTCCCAGGGAATGTGCGCACTGGAGAGGGATCCCTGGCACTCCTGCAAGGAAGAGGCCTGCTGCCACAGCAAGATGTGGGCAACAACCAGCCCTCTTTTACCCAGGTAACCTCGCAGTCCTCAGGCTTGCTGCTGGGCCGCCTCACTGCCTCTGTGAGGGACTGGTCTCCCTGCTCAGCACAGGGCAGGAGACTACAGCCCTGGAAGACTCACTGACTTGATCTTTATGATGATGCTGCTGTGGCGAAGGGTCAGTGCAAGAGCTGGCCCCATCCCCTGGGATAGAGCATGCAATGACTTGAGGAATCCATCCCAGTCTGCTCAATATTTCCATCTTCATATGTGTGTGCATGTGACATAAACTTTGCTTTGAGTGACTCTGCTCTTGGTGTACAACCTCTTGTTGGGCTGTGTTTCCAAGGGCTCCTGGCAAAGAGCTCGACAGATGTTATTAAACCTTAATGATCTGTTCACACAGAACCCAAAAGGTAGGTGGCTGCAACCCAGGGTAAAGCAGTTTTTAAGCCTGACCTTCAGCTTGGAGGTAGCTAAGCAACATATTCCATGTTGAAGGATTTCAGTCACCCGTTAGGGTTATTTTAAAACTGTGACTGGCCTGAAGAGACACGTAGAAAGTCCTGCAGGCTGTTTGAAAGAAAAATAGAAAAAACAGGATGAATATCAGAGACTATCTGTGATTTGTATTGTGTGCAGTAGCCTAAACTCAGGTGAGTTTGCAAGAGAATCTTATGCAAAAGAATGGAGATGTGTAGTGAGGAAAAAAATTATATAGACAAATGAAAGTAGATGTTAATTACTTTATCTCCATCCGTGCATGTCTTCTACTGCCCAGGGTTAAAGGAGTTGACTCCTTCAGGACTGACTGCTTCCACTGATTTTCTGAAAGGATGAATGAATCTCAGACTACCCAAAATACCAGACCCACAAAATAAGCTGTGGGAACTCTACCATTAGTCCTGGGACTGTGTGGTCAGCCACACAACATAGACAAAGTGAACAGTTGAAAAGCATGTATACTCAATAGTGCCCAAACATAACGTCCTAGCTGGGCTGCAGATTCCCCAAGACACCTGTAGTTCAAGAGGGCTGTATGCCATAATGGTTGCCCCCCTTTGGTTAACTTCCACCTGAATGATCTGTTGGTGAAAGCATGGAATAACTCGATGAAACGAGATTCAGAACTGATTATCTAGCAAGCGCAAGTCAAAATCATCAGTTAGATTGAGAGTCTGCAAATGTATATCTATACTATTTCCAGAAGCTGCATTTCAGGAAATTATCATTTCAGGGCTGTAGTCATTGTTGCTACCCTTAATCATTAATCAAAAAAACCCCAAGCAAGTAAAACCAAACACGAAACTATGACTTAGAGACATAATCTAGAAAATGCAGCATGTTTTAAAAATAAATATTTCACCTTGCCAAGGCAAAGTTCCTTTACGACATGATACTTAATCTCACACATACTTCTATGGTTATTTTCTTGTCTTAAATCTAATTACTTCTCAGTATTTCAGTTTGTTACATGCATTTTCATATCATGGTCTGCCACCATTCCCAAAAGTACACTCCATTGCACAATTCTCTGTAGTATTTATTTTGAGGCAGCTTCTGGGATAAAGAATTAGTCCTGGGATTTATCCACAGTTTTGACACTGGCCAGCCGGGTGACTTCCAGCCAAGTCACTGCACCTCTTCACCACCATTTTCCAGCAGTCAAAGTGGGGTAATAACCCTTTTTGAAAGCACACGGAGATCTGCAGATGAAGTCCTATATAGTTTTAACAGATGAAAACCTGAAGACTAGCACCTGTCAAAGTGCTTATTAACCTATAATAGAATTGGCAAAAACAGATGATCACCAAACTTTTCCTCAGTCTGTTTAAACAGGCACAATGGTAATAGAGACAGGCTTTTAAACTAGATGTTTGTGACCTAGTTGGAACATGTACAACCAATGCAGATTTTGCTCATTGGTTATTATGTTTGTTTTCTTAAGATGGCCTCTGAAGGACCACATGCAACATCTCCCATACCTGTGACTATGTGCACCCTTGGCCCAGCCAGGCAGACGTGCTGCTTGAACTGCAGCAGCCCCAGGACAAGGTAGAGAAGAACTGCCTGAATTTGAGAACAAAGCCTCACTGAGACACTTGCTTTTCAGTCCTGCCTGACAGCTGAGTTCCACACAGAAGGTATGTTAAGTTAGGAAAGCTTCCTGTAACCTCTGCCCCTTTGAAAAACACCCAACAGCCAGATTAAATCTGTTTTGCAGTGACTTTCATGTCATCAGCTAGAGCCGTCTCTAAAAAGGTGCAAGCACAACAGCCAAGTGATTGTGCTAGAGACGCATGAGTTAATTTTTAAATGTTTCCTGTTTCACCCTTAAGAATGACCTTTACTAAAAAAAAAGTAAATTCAAATTAGTATTAAATACATTTTCTTAAATAGAATCAACTATGGAAAAGGTTCTTTCAACTCCTTAACATACACAATCACGATACACTGATTACTGTACAAGATTACTATAGTATCTCTTTGAAGTTCGCATATGGAGTTCAACTATATATATACATAAAAAAAACCTAAAATGGGGGATTAGTCAGATTACTATTGGCTTGCCTTTTCTTTATTACCTCATGTTTATTTTCTCAGTTACACACTGAATATTTCAAACATTGCGTGCCCCTTAGTAGCAAATATCTCCATTCCTGTTCCAACACAGGACCCTGGCTTTTGATACCCGATACGCTATGTGCCAATGTGAAGCTTGATTTACCAGTGAGAATCCAAGAGAGTCCAATATCCTGCTAGCACAAGCAAGACTGGAGGACTAGGACTTTTGTTCTGGAACTTCTAGTCAGAAGCTCTTGCAGTATTAGAGTAGATGCTTTGTCCATCATCTCAGCCCTAGCAAACAAAGGCACAACTGTGTGGTACGTAATATTTTGATGTTTATTTTAAGAGTATCATCTTGCAATGGCATATTCAAGAATTTGTGTCATGCATCTGTTGATTTTGTAACTAAAGCACTGTTGGTCAATTTTTTTCCCTTACTGGTTCATAATTGTGGGAGGAAAACATGTAAGTAGATTGGAATTGTGCACCACAGCCATGAGTGTAACTTTTGTTTAGGCTCAGAATGTGGCACAGAGGAATCAAACTGGAGCCAGCTGAGGACAGCTCTTCTTCTAGGCTCTCAAGTTCCTCTAGGAGGATTTTATACAACCCTTGAAACCTAGTTGGGATATTTCTTCCAGTAGAGCTACACCTATAGTGTAGGCAGGATGCAGACACTTTACTGCAGTCAAACCATATGCAGCTTGATTACACTTTGCTGTGTTCTTGGCAGTACTGAAGGAGCATGAATTAGTGATTTTTTTTTTTCATGTATGCATTTGTAAAAGGCACAGTAATGGATGTTCAACATCACTGAGAAGCCAAAATAAATATACTGTGGTAATGACCTTTAGGATGTGGAAGAGAATGTTCTATCACTTAATGATAAGTAAATAAATAACAATTCATGCCTTATTAATTTGACAATGTATTTAAATTAAACACAATCGTATTGTAGAATCATATGTAGATGCTCAGTAGATAACTGGCCATTTCCTACCATGCTTTTTAAGTTCTGCACTAAGTATTAGAGGATAAATATTATACCTGTACTGTATGTCTTTTCTTCTTAGTTAAAAATTAAAGTAAAAGGTCATTCTTGAACAGGCTCAGAAACTATACAGGGTTTTACTAAAATACAGAGCTAATTCCAGCTACATACAGCTCCTTGTCTTGCTACCTTCCCTTGCTTTTAGGACTCATATTAAAAGGAAGAAGAGTTGTTTTTCAGGCAGTGTTGATGTCCAACTTCAGTACACCTCTTGTGAAGATGTTGCTGGAAATGCCATCTTTAGCATTCATGTCTTCAGAAACACCAAGAATCCTTGGTTGCCAAAGCCAGAAAGCAAAAACTCAGATAACCATCACTTGGCCCTTCTTGTTGGCCAATTTTTAACTACTGCTTCCACACATGCTTGTTACTGGCCGTTCATTAACGAGGGATGATCAACTCCTTGTTACAGTGTGTGTGTGTGGGAAGTCCTACAATTTTCTACACTGTTGCCCCAGTGATGCTTGCTGGTTTTGTCTTCCAGCTCACATCAGTCCTCCTGAGCTAATACCAAGCTGTAAATGCACACCCCACGAAGGAACATTTGGAAGATTTGTGTGGATGCATTTATATTCTCTATGGTTAGGCATGGTTATAATACTTCCTTTTCCTGTGTTTTTCACTGTGGTTCAATATTCCTGTACATAACACTGTGCCACTTTAATTATGGATCATGCTTCCATTTAAATTGATAGAGTTTGTATTTAAAGTTTGAAAGAGAAGTTGCTGCCTTCTCTGCTATTAATAGTATTAGTTTTATATAACTACATGATTCCCATATAGTGGATAAACTATAACAGACAAATAAGCATCTCTGCCCACAAGGAACTTTAACTTCTGCATAAAAAGAAATTAAATGATACAGCGCAGGAAAGTTCAATGCAGAAAAAAGACTGAGGTTTGGAGGGTAGACAGAAAATGCTGCAAAGATGTAGCAAGTGTGCAAAAGGTCAAAGCTTTTCCTAGAGATGAGGGGCAGTCTTAGGGCCAACATTTACACCTCATACTACGTACCACAATTCCTGGTGAAAATTGAGATGTCAGTAACTAAGGTGCAGAGGCTATTTTTCCTATGAAGTGTTTAATTCTGCAACTGTATTTCCTCTTACCCAAGCACTGTCTCACCTCTTCCTATGAGCCATGGATTACATGTCACTGAGTCATGTCTCACTTCAGCTGTACCACATATTTAGCAGCATTTGGTCTCATCTCTTCAGCATTTTGCCACCGCCACCTCTTGTTCTCCTTGCTCAGACACAAAGCTCAGGCTGGAAAGCAGGACAGCAAGCCAGCCCATACCCACTGCTGCTCTTCCTGCTGGGCCACCTGTGTGCTGGGTTGGACTGCACACACAGCTTGCCTTTGTGCTGACCAGGCATGTCAGAAGGATGCTTGGTGACACCCAACAGCTCATTTGGGACCCACAGAGGTCAGGTAAAGACCCTTGTGCTGAATTGCATCAAATAAAGAAATTCATGCTGCAGGCAGAGGATTTGGAGAGCAAAAGAATGCTTTGAACAATATGCTGTCTCTGTGAGCCAAATGTGTACTAAAAAAAAAATCACTAAAAGCAAAAAGAGCCCCATAAATGATGCTATCTAAAACAGCATAGATTTATATTTCCCATACAATGAGTTTAAAGTAAATATTTCATGCCTGTAAAAATATTGTAACACATTATAAAGGTTTCAAAGTCAAGCACTCATGATAATAAGAAACATGTTAATTTGGATTAACTTTTGCAGCTTTAATTCTTTCCCTCTGAGTGCATTTTCATCCTGGTAGCCTTCAGGTGTACGATCACAACTTTTTGCCAGAGCAAGAATATGTTCATCTGTTTTAGTCAAACATGATAGAATGGGAGGGATGTCCTCCAGGTGCCTTTCTCCACTAACTGCTGACAGAACCAAGGTGAGAACTTTGGTGAGACACCTAATGTGCTGGATAGTGAAGTGATTCCAGCTTCTAGTACTGACACAGAATGCTGTTACTGGGCATGCTAAATTTGTGCCAGGTAAAGCTCACCACCAGCTCATCCACAACCAATGCAAACCTTCCACAGAGAGAAAACATAGTGCTTGACAGCTTCTGGTATGCTTCCACAGTGCTGGCTAAGTGGCCCTGGAACCTTATGTCAATCAGAACTGAAACACATCTCTTGAAACACATCTCTCCATGCACCAGTTCATACCTTTCTGCAGCCTGGCAGTAACTTTTAGAAATGCACTTTCAGATTCCTAAGAGTCTCAAATGCACTTTTTTTAGCATGGACACTCATCTAAAAATCCAGGCTGGTTGGTGCAGCAAACCAAGAAAAGTCTAAAATAAGCTAAGGATACAATTTTCTGATATGATTTGTATTGCTCTTGCTACTGGGCTGGCTGTCCAGTACAACTTCATTCTACTGGTTATTGTTAGAGAGAATGACCTTCTCTAGAACATATGGCCTCCTACAGATGCCACTTTTTGTAAGGGTTAATCCAGAGCTGGGGATAAATGCTACCTGCCACATGAATTTCATATGGCACTTCTGTAAACTTGCAAGTTGCTAGAACCACCCAACAGCTATATAAAAGAGTGTGCTTGCATTCTGCATTCGCAGAATTTAGTCACAGTTGCTTGGCACGTCAACAACACTCACTAGAAGAAACGAGGAGTCACAAGAACATAACAAATTCACTAGAAGAAATAAGGAATCTCTAACAAGCAAATTTATCCTAGAACTTCTAATCACAGAATATTAAAATTAAGCAAACTACCTGCTTATCAAAACCTTCCTTTAATTACCAAGAACTAGCCAAGTGTGACAAATCCATGACAACGTTGAATTGATAGTTTCCTACAATCTTTACATTTAAAAATAATTTCCTCTCTACCATAAGTCTGACCTTACTAGGGCCCAGAAGCAGAGAGAGCATTTGCCTATTAACAAGCATTATTGTACATAAAGTACCTTAAGAAACAGAAAACTGAAGTTAGCAATATACAATGGAGAGCTTTCAGAGAGGGAAAACTCTGCACTCTACAATTTTCCTCAACCTTTCTCAAAATATACTAAATATGTGCAACATGAAGGACTCTATATATAAAGATTACTGTTTGTTTCTCTACAGAGCTTTTACTTGGAAAAGAATGTGGTCAAGTTAAACTAGGTATTGCTGATTTTCATTATTTCAACACAAATCTTTCAATACTTTTTTCAGCTGCCAGTCAAGGGAATGCAGTAAAAATCCTAGGTTTTACATTTTTAAAGCAAGTTTTTAATTCTTCTGTATGGCAAAAGCTTGTAAATATGAAAGGAAGGTCTCCTAAGAGCTCAGAAAACAGATGGCAGATAACCAACCACCTACCCATCTTCTCTAAATGTCTTATTTTTAAGAAAATGGGCTTTTAAGCCAGTTTCATTTGTGGGTGGGCATTGACTCATGAGTTTTGAAAGCTTACTGTGGCAAAGCAAATCTGGATCAAAACTTGAATTTTGTACTTCAAAAAGCACTGCTGAAATTTTTTTTAAAGCAACAAAAACGCTTGTATTCCATTTAGTTTTCAGACTATCTGAGTTAAATACGTATTTTTAAACCACTCAAGCATTCCCTGACATTGTTACTAGCCAAAACACAAGACAAATCTGTTAGCTTATCAGTCACAGGAAATTTTTAAGAAGATTCTAAGCAAGTACCTGTCAGAAATGCTCATGGATAGCTGGTCCAGCCATGTAGGGGAGAGGAGGTCAAGACAACCTCTCAGGCTGCCTCAGCATTTTGATTCCTAGAAAGGAAAACCAACTTTATTAATAAGACACTTCCAAGAATGGCAGTACCATGCATCTATACCAAATCAGTGACAATACCACAGCTGTTACATAGTGAAGATTTTCATACCATAATCTATAGTGTCCTCACACAGGTAAGTTTGTAAGGTAAGTTAAAAGAAGTTGCCAAGTAGATAAGATTTAGTCATTTTTAAGCTTATTAAACACCATTGTTGATGACAGAGGTTAGCATAGGTGTGGTTTGGCAAACAACAATAATTGCTGATCATAATAATAATAATGTTCACTAGAACAGGAAGCTACTGTTCCTCAAAGCTTCTCAGTATATACACTGCAATCAT